CCCGGGGCCGCCAAACAACAACCGCTGCAACCAAAAAATAGCTGGGTGTTATGATAGGCACCTGTGGTCCCAGCTACTCGGGAGGCTGAGGCAGAAGACTCGCCTGAGCCCAGGAGTTGGAGGTTGCTGTGAGTTGTGATGCAACAGCACTCTACCCATGGGGACAGCTTGAGGCTCCGCCTCAAAAAAAAAAAAAAAAAAAAAAAATCTGGTGAAATGAAAAATATTGCCACAGATTAGGAAGTCTGCTAGTGAGAGTATTACTCTGAGAGGCAGCTTGGCAATATCTTGGCCAAAGTGTTACCTCAGTAAATATTTAAAAAACATGTGTGCATATCCCTTGACCTAGCAGTCTAAGTTCAAGACATTTATCCTTAGGAAATGGTCCTATTTGCAAAGATTTAAATATGAGGCTATCCATCACAGCAGATTTTTCCCCTCTATTTTTAAAATGAAGTATAATTAATATACTCTGAACTGCACAGATCGTAAATGCAGAATTTGATGGGTTTTAAAAAGTTTACTTTCACTCTGTTCCCACAGTTCCAGATATGAAACATTTCTATTGCACCAGAAATATACATTGCACAGCACGGTTTATAATAAAGAAAACTTGGGATCAACTTAGATGTAGGGTAAAGGGTAACTTAAAGAAATGTTTATACAATAATATAATGTCTGATTCATTATGCAGCCTTTTAAATGTTGTAAAAGAATATTTAATACTATAAAAATATGTTGTGATGTGTCATTAGGCAATAATACAGTTTCAGCATTGAAAACCTTATTATCTCATATTTGTTAGAAAATATTACCTATTTTTTATATTTTCAGTATTGAAAACTGTATTATCCCATTTGTAGAAAAAATGTCTGCATGGGAGATATACCAAAGTGTATTGGTTATGTTTATATCATTTTATTTTATTTTTGCTTAATTCTTTTTTCTGACTTTTTTAGAACAAATAAGTATTGACTTACACTTAAAATATTATTTAAAAGTTTTAAAAAGTCTTACTAATCACAATACAATAAAAAAATACAATAAAATATCTACATATACAGAATCACTCATCGCTCATGTGCTCTGATTATGTGGATGAAAACTTAGATGTAGAAGAGCTATGCTACTTTGTAATTTCTACTTAATAACGTGGGAATGTAGGTAGATGCTATTCAGTAATACTTATAGACTGACCAAGTATAGTGAAGGTAAGAAAGAATTCATCATGGCATTCAACAAAAACATTTATACTTTGTTCTTTCTGAAAACGTTTATACTTTGTTCTTTCTGAAATATTATGTTACTATGACAATACTCCATTACTGATGTGTTAAGGAACTCCCTAGTATTATGCAAATATTCCTTTCCCTTCCCTTCCCTTCCCTTTTCCTTCCCTCTGCCTTCCCTTCCCTCTTCCATCCCTTCCCTTCCCTCTTCCTTCCCTCTTCCTTCCCTTCCCTTCCCTTCCCTCTTCTTTCCCTTCCCTCTCCCATCCCTTCCCTTCCCTCTTCCTTCCCTCTTCCTTTCCTTCCCTCTTCCTTCTCTCTTCCTTCCTTCTTCCTTCCCTCTTCCTCTCCTTTCCTCTTCCTTCCCTCTTCCTTCCCTCTTCCTTCCCTTCCCTTCCCTTCCCTCTTCTTTCTCTCTTCCTTCTCTCTTCCTTCCTTCTTCCTCTCCTTCCCTCTTCCTTCCCTTCCCTCTTCCTTCCCTCTTCCTTTCCTTCCCTCTTCTTTCTCTCTTCCTTCCTTCTTCCTTCCCTTTTCCTTCCCTCTTCTTCTCCTTTCCTCTTCCTCCCTTCCCTCTTCCTTCCCTTCCCTTCCCTCTTCCTTTTCTTCCTTCTTCCTTCTCTCTTCCTTCCTTCTTCCTTCCCTCTTCCTCTCCTTTCCTC